TTATATGTGGCGCCAGTGGAGGGAATCCAACTCCAGAATTGTATTGGCATGACAATAATTTAAAACCACTGGAGAAAAGTTGCATCTGGAATGAGCAACAACCAACTTACGAGTTAACAATATCTTCATGTACATGGGAACTGGAGTCTTCAGACAATGAACGTGTGTACACGTGTACTGGTAAATCTGATGCATCTTCTCAGACGTATGACTGCGATACTGGGCAACTAGATGTTAAATGTATGTATAAAGTACGTTTTATAAATTACAAGTATTCAACATTACTTTTAATCTCAATCTTTATTTTTAATGACGAATGACAACATTATAATTACAGTACACCTCGAAATGATACATTCCACAACAAAAAATAACGAAATGTATGAATGATATTATTTTGTTCATAGATTCCCCGGACAGTCCAGTGTGTAATGTAAGAGAAGAGAATACCTTTTTCAAGGAAGGAAATGAAATTACTCTGATATGTGTATCATTAGATGGAAACCCACTCGCAACTCTGCAATGGGTCAATACATCTAGTGGTATGGTGATGACTGGGACTACACCGGAGCCTAGCGACAGTGAGAGTATTGCAACTTATAGTTGGACACTCAGCAGGGCGGATAATAACATTCCGTATGTCTGTGAAGCAACTAATATTGTACAAACAGACCCCCTAACATGTAGCAGTGGACCACTTAATATATCATGTAAGTATAACGTGCTTAAACTACAATGTCATACGACAACAGTGAACAATAAACATACACTTTAGCGTATTATCACAAAACATTATACTGTATTTAGTAATATTAGTTGAGGATATTCCAATATTTTCTTAACGGGTAAAATATTTTTCAAAAACATATTTGACCCATATTTTCACAACCACACGAACGAACAAAGTTAAATATTGTATATCTGTTACTAAAGAATTCATAAATCTAATTTCATGATTATTGACAGTTGCTGCAATGGATATATTATTATCAGAACCAATCAATCCTTACAAACGTGGTGAATACATAACCTTGACGTGTACATCCGGTAGTAGTAACCCACCGTCATCCATTGAATGGTATCGAAATAATACATTAGTTATGAACAGCGAATACGCAACTGTTGTTCATACTGACTACATCGATGGTGAATTCAGTGGAACCATCACCCAGCAGGACCTAGGTATATATTTGACTGCTCAGCATAACAGTGCCGTGTATCAGTGCGCATCGTTCTTATGTGTCAACTGTGAAACTATTAGTTCGGATAACATAATGATTGTGGTTAATTGTGAGTATTTTTTTTTTCTAGAGCGGTAACTTAAATTTCATGTTAAAGGTTATTCCGAAAAATACTATAAATGATATTTTACAGCACATGTTTTGTACTTTGAAATTGAATGTCTACATATTCCATCTAATGTTGTTTTTAGGATATCACAACTAGTAACTTTCAATTATGTTTTTTTGTTTAATTCGTATAATCAAACGATATATTTGCATCCTCAATTGAATCTTCCTGTTAGGTGGGAATAATTGCATGTTCAAAAATACTTGAACATACACGTTTATGATTATCATATAATAAATATAAAAATGTAATTTTATCAATCACCGTCAAGGAAAATTGGCAAATTGTATGTCATATTAGGAACCATTGCATAATGAATGAAGAAATCAACTGAGAATACGAACGTTTAATAATATATCGGTACTTCTTTTATTCTTTATATCATTTGATTGACACCGAAGGTAAAAAATGACAGTGAGATTGTGATTTTGGAAACTAAGCTCACGAAACTTTTGATGATTTCTGATAATTGGGTGTGACGTATAAACCACGACATCTTTATATCTCCGTTGTTAAAAACAGATTTGTTTCAGTGCTGTAATTGTAAATGAATTGAACACCCCATTATATATGTTTATAATGATTGTAATATAAATTGTACAATATGAACATATATACTGATTTATAACTACATTATAACTACAGAGCATGCATAATTTGAATGTTATCATGAGCGTTCACTGTTTAAATAACTATTTATCACCGGTATATCATATTCTCTATGTTGTGTTAAAACCTCATATTGACTGATTTAATCGGGAAACATCGTCTTCTTAGGGGTTTTAGGTCGTCCTCAAAATCCGTAAAAAAATATACAAGTATGCCATGACCAGTCAACCAACGTGTTCGACACTAAAAGTTAAGATACAATTACGTTCAGTTCCCCCTACAGAACCATTTCCTTGCCAGACTAGTCTTACTGGTTACGATGGTCATGTAATGGCTGGTGAAGAGTTAATATTGACATGTACGTCATGCAGTAGTAATCCACAGGCTGAGTTAATGTGGTATATAGATGATATGGAAGTACAAGATGGACTCAGTGTACCACGTTATACCCATGCAGAATATAATGGGATGAAAACATCACAGAATCTAACCAAGTCAATGACATATTTGGACCATGGAGCAGTGATTTATTGTGAGGCTTATAATGCCGAATTTAGTGGAGAAATGTATTTTTCTAATAAAACGTTATTTAACGTACATTGTAAGTAAACGTACCTTTTTATTTTATAATATTACTCCCAAAAATACATGGCATATATCACCACGGTAATTGTATCTCTCATATACAGCTTAATATAATATCACATTTTGTGTATATAGTATATAATTAGTGGAGGATTATCATTTCAGATGGACCAATCCCTAATACTGCCTACGCGATATCCACAGCAAACCAAATGGAAATAGGAAACCTTACTTGTCAAATTGATAGCAACCCGGATGTTAATATCACGTGGTACGATGAATCGCACCGGAAATTACATACGACAGGAAGAACAACAATTATTGAGTGGAGAAATGATACAATTCGTACCAGTGTACTTGTCATATATAATGTTACACAGGAAGACTATGGAAACTATACCTGTTACGCAGAGAATTATGTGAATAGCTCAATATTTGTCATTGAATTTACTGAAACAGGTATGGTCGTATTAGAATTTGTAAAAGAACGTATAAGATAAAAAAACGTGACAAATACGAACAACAACTACTCTTTCCGGCGAGGGGACTTTAGCGTAAAGGTTAAACTAGATAAATTGAATCGACTACGCATAACACTTGGTAGATAGGTTGGTTGAGCAAAGCTTTTGTATGTTTAATAGTAGATCAGATTTATTTATTTATTTATTTATTTATTTATTTATTTATTTATTTATTTATTTATTTATTTATTTATTTATTTATTTATTTATTTATTTATTTATTTATTTATTTATTTATTTATTTATTTATTTCAGGAGACAAAGCCG